AATGTGGACAATTTTTCGTCCAATATGGCAAAGTGAACAAACAACATCTCTCTCTCTCTCTCTCTCTCTCTCTCTCTCTCTCTCTGGAGTTGAAAGAGAAAGCTCTGTTTTCATAATAGAGAAACAGAGCAAAGTCTCAGCCTGTGGTTCGCCTCCATGATGCTCAATTTCTCGTACACCAAAGCTCGGGACGACGAAATCCAAAGCATGGGCAAAAAACGGACCCGTTCTTCAAGTTCGGGGGTGTAAAAGGAGGCCTTGTAGTGAAGAAGAGAACATGAGTGGATAATTGAAGACAAGGATTCGTAGTGAAAATGAAGACATGACCGGTGAGACAAATCGGTTGAATTCACATCCTTGCAGAACCTAGAGGAGATCGTGAAGATCTTGACATAGCCGATAGACAATATACGCGCCCAAACCCCATCATTGACGACCACAAGAAGCTTTACGTAATGCCGATCACTCATTCAATTCTTTAATGACCTCGAATCTACTTTCTTTAGGCTCTCGCTCACTCTCTTTCAGATAATCATCTGCAATTTTACAAATAATTTCAATGGGTAAGATTAGGGTTTGCTTCTATGTCCTAGTTTAGCCCCAATTTGCCAATTTGGGGAAAAAATGGCAAATGAGCTCAAGCCGCGGCCACCAAATTAGGATTTATATGTGGGGCAAACATGTAAACGACATCGTTTGGGACTATTAATGCTGACTCGGCACGCCAGCGAGCCACATGGGTTGGAAAAATTGATAAAAAAAAATTGCCAAGTTAAATTTTTGGCAACACAAATTGAAGTTGGCAATTAAAGTGATAGTTTTTTTGAAAAAGAGATACTTAAGTGATTCGAAAAAAAATTGGCACTAAAGTGAGTGCTGTACGAAACTTTTGACACTTCTAGTGTCCTTATGCCTAAAAATATATTGTATTTTTTATTGATTTTTTTAAAAAAGATTGAAATGAAAAAGATATTGTAAAATTTGGGCAATAGTGTGTAATTATGAAAACTTGTAAATAGCAACATAGTGATTTGACTTTGTTATAAAAAGTTGAGAAATTAGATTGAACAAATTGAAAGTTTCAGTACATATTGAATATGAAGGAATATTTCAAAGACTCTATTAAACAAATTAAAAGTCCAATTATGACGTTATACATTGAATCAAAATTTATGGACTATCAATATCAATTTTCTCTTTATCTTTCAAATCATCAATCAGGCTCGTCTCTCTCTCTTTCCCCCTTCCAACTCACTCTCGATCACCGCCTTGAAATTGCTTCCTAAGAGATCCAAACCAGCATGACATCCTCATCCTCTCGTCAAAAGTACGTACGCATGCAAGATAAATATGTTGGCTGAGCTTATATTAATTTACATGGCCTCAATGTCGACAAATAGATGGACTGGCAGTCTTGAACCAGCTTCAAGGCAACGGATGTTGTGAAAAATAACGAGAAAACAAACGGATCTTGCAATTCAAGTCAAACAAGAGAGAGAACGATATTATTAGAGAAATCAACGATGAACAATAAAGAACATAGAGATTTACATGATTCTTGGTACTCACTCCAAGACGGGAATTAGCCGCAAGAAATGCACTATGAAACTGAAGAATACATAGTTACAATTGCTCAATTACTCGAGTGTTTCCCAACCATAAATTACACCCAAGCTAACCCACAATTGTTATTTTATAATCTCTCACGGAAAACTCGCTCAGAAAATTCACAGAGAGATACTCTATAGTTCTCTTATCTGCTTCGTTGTATCTTATATCACAATAGTATTTTTTAATGTATATAAATATATGTATAATATTTGTATCCCAGATAGAAAACCCCTTTTAGGAAACCCTATCAAATTAGAAAATCTACTCAAACTTGAGACATATTCTAGCAATCTCCACCTACGCTCAAACATTTGAGTGGATTATCTTCAATGAAATTTCATATCTCCACATAGTGCGACTCTCTTAATATTGGTTTTCTTAATGATGAGGTATGAGGTGGGCATGTGAGTGGATTATCTTCAATGAAATTTCATATTCCGGCATCACTAAAAAAATTCTTGCCAGTAGAAAATTATGCCATGTCTTCATTATGGTATGTGATTGATTTTACAAGAAAATTGTTGATTGAAAATTGTCGATTTTACAAGAAAATTGTCAATCAGGCTTAACAAGTACCACTGAAAATCTCGTTAGGATGCCTTTAAAAAATACGGACTGACACAAAACACTGCACGCGCAACATTTCCTTTTGTTCAATTCTTCTTCACACCTATATCGAACATGTCTGAAAATTAGACCTTGAGGATCTATCAAGCCAACATTACACGTCCAAAGGCTAATCTAGGAAGTCCTCGCGGAGTAGCACCTCATGAGCGTTAGGCTTTGGTCTAATATGACAATGTTCCTTAAGATCTGTTAGATAAAAAGGCAACAAAAAAAGATAAGAAGAAAAGTTTCCTTTCACAGGAGACGATGAAGCCCAATTCAAGTTTACAACCAAAAGTAAATGAAGTGGTCCAAAGCTTTCGGGAAAAGTATCAAAAAAGTCCTGAACCTTTTGCATTTATGCCAATTTAGTCTTAAACCTTTTTTTGGTGCCAATTCAGTCCTAAACCTTTTGCATTGGTGCCAATTTAGTCCTAAACCTTTTTTTGGTGCCAATTGAGTCCTAAATCTTTTGCATTGATGCCAATTCAGTCATAAACCTTTTGTCTTTATACCAATTCAGTCTTTCCGATCAATTTTGGCCGGATTTTGCTGACGTGGACACCGACCGGCCGGCCGCCGGCCACTAGCGCTGACGTGGACAACTTTAATAATATTTTAATTTTTTTTAATTTTTATTAATTTTTTTTTTTTCTCTCCCCTCCCTCCAGCCGGTGACTAGAGGCCAGAGGCCGACGCCGGCGAGGTCGGGCCTCGCCCAGCCGCCGGCGAGGCTCGCCCTCGCCAGCGATGGTGAAGGCCAGGCTCGCCCTCGCCAGGCCCCGACCTCTGGCCACCGGCCGATCGCCGGTCCGGCAACCAGCTGGAGGGAGGGGAGAGAAAAAAAAAAGAAAAGAAAAAAATTAATAAAAATTCAAAAAAAATATTAAAATATTATTAAAGTTGTCCACGTCAGCGCCGGTGACCGGCCGCCGGCCGGTCGGCATCCACGTCAGCAAAATCCGACCAAAATTGACCGGAAGTACTGAATTGGTACAAAGACAAAAAGTTTAGGACTGAATTGACACCAATGCAAAAGGTTTAGGACTCAATTGGTACTAAAAAAAGGTTTAGGACTAAATTGGCACCAATGCAAAAGGTTTAGGACTGAATTGACACAAAAAAAGGTTTAGGACTAAATTGGCACTAATACAAAAGATTTAGGACTTCTTTTGCTCTTTTCCCAAAGCTTTCCAATATCATTTTTGCCATATTTAGTCCCATCATAGAACAAAGCAGTCTCTCCAATATATTTGCTGGTCTTACCATCAAAAGCACCAGCTAATTATGGCCATTCTATGGCCTCAGTCCTTCTTTAAATCTCATCTTTCTCTCTCAGGCTTTTATTTTATCTCTTTACAAAGCGTGGAAACTAAGGGTGCGTATGGTAACGTTTCTATTTCTGAGAACAATTTCTTTTCAGAAATAATTTTTCCTATTTCTATTTCCTGGAAGAGTTTCTAAGTAAAATAACGCGTTTGGTAACTGCACAAAATTTTTATTTCTAGAACAGAAATGTGTTTGGTAACTGCACAAAATTTCTATTCCCAATTTTTTGCATTCCAATCTATATCTTTTATTTAACTATAAGTACAAGTTATAAGTGAAAAAAATCAATAAGCATGATTTTATTGGTTTGTCTAATCCTTTTTAGGGGTTTAAAACCCCTTTTAATCCCTAAACTAAGGAATCTTCAAAAATACCACTTGGGCACCTCAAAAATTTAAATTTCACTCAAAGTGGGTGGCCACAAGTATTCTAAGCCATTATGTGAATTTTTTAATATTTTTTTGGGGTAAAATTTATTAAAATTTTTTACTTTCCATAAATCTGTTTCTTTTTATTTTTTCGAAATTTTTTTATGAAATTTTTTTAATTTTTTCAATTTCGGAATTTTGCAAATATTTAAGAGTTTTCTGAGTTTTTCTGATTTTTATGGGTTTTCTGAGAATTTTTCTGATTTATATGAATTTTGGGAATTTTTTAATTTTCTAATTTTTTATGGGATTTTTCTGAAATTTTTCTAATTTTTATGAATTTTTGGAATTTTTTAATTTATTCTAAGCCATTATGTGAATTTTTTATTTTTGTTTTTTTTTGGGGAAAAGTTTATTAAAACTTTTTACTTTCCCGAAATTTGTCTCTTTTTATTTTCCAGAAAGCTTTTTATGAATTTTTTTAAATTTTTTCAATTTCGGAATTTTGCAAATTTTTATTGGTTTTCTGAGTTTTTCTGATTTTTATGGATTTTCTGAGAATCTTTCTGATTTTTATGAATTTTTGGAATTTTTTTAATTTAATTAAATTTTTTATAATTTTTTTATTATTTCCGCCGAGAATGGACCGGACCGGTGCTTTGAGACGGTTTGCAGACGACGGAGGATGGAGGAGGAGCTGAGGTTGCGGCTTGAAGACCAGACCTTTCTATTTCTATTTCTAGGAATAAAGAAGTAGATTTTTTCTACTTCTTATTTCTGCTCCAAATCTATTTCTTGGCCACTTTTCTATTCCAGGAAATAGAAAAATAAAATGCGTTACCAAATGGATTTCTGTTCTTTTTTTGTTCTAGGGAACAGAAGAACAAAAAAATAGAGAAACAGAAGCGTTACCAAACGCGCCCTAAACGTACCTGCTCACCCCACTTAATTTAATTCCTTACCATTGGGCCACGTCCCCAATGGGTAAGATTTATTCTCATTCAATGATAAGGTCAAACAACATATCAAGGTCCAATCTCACATTTCATTTAAGGAACTTTCCCTAAATTATAAATCCAACAAACCTGCTCATTTAAAGGATGGCTTCAAGAAGCTTAGGTGCCCGTGCCTCCCTGTATCTCAGCTATGGTGGTTGAAGCGGCCTTCAATGCCGGGTCGGTTCACAGGTCATCTTTTTCAACGTTTTATCTTCTTTAGGTAATAAAAAGCACCATTACCCATAAGAAATTCGGACTGTCATACGCAATCTTTATCCATCTCTCTCTCTCTCTCTCTCTCTCTCTCTCTCTCTCTCTCTCTTTAGTACAAGTATAAATTTTGCCTGCTTCTTTCCAAGTGCAAAACGGAGCGAACCCATATTAGTGATTTCTTTCCCCTTCTAGTCGATCGTTAAAGGCTGTTATTTGCTCCTTATCTTGAGTATTTTCTCTGAAATATCAGCAGAAAATGGCAGATCAGATCGGTGGGAGCAATGGAAACCATGGAGTTGTCTTGGAAATGAAAGACACTTCCAACGCCAAGGAAGAGATCAAAAGCACTTTCTTCTCTTTTCCCTTCGTTCAAAAGGTTACTTGTGTTCTCATCTCCATCTAATCTTTCTTCCCCCAATCCCTTCCTTCTTGTTTCTTTTTGCCCTTCTCTTTTTCTTTTCGTATTCACTTGGATGCACATCAATCTTTCGAGGTGCACAAATCGTAACAACATACAAAACATTTACGGGTTTTGGTACGAGTGAGTTTGATCTCGAATTTCTCAAAACGTTGCAGTTGATCGCAGAGGTCTTCGGGACATACTTCTTGATATTCGCGGGTTGCGGGTCGGTGGCGGTGAACTTGGACTACGACAAAGTGGTGACGCTCCCGGGGATATCGATAGTGTGGGGGTTAGCGGTGATGGTGTTGGTGTACTCGGTCGGACACATCTCCGGTGCCCATTTCAACCCGGCCGTCACCATTGCTTTCGCCACCTGCAAGAGGTTTCCATGGAAACAGGTGCAACCATATCTCTTCCAAAGTCCTAACTCCTAAACTACTTTTGGCTATCTTCCTACATAAAATATGTTCTAGTCCGTGTCATATGATGAACCCCAATATTGCTTGTTTGACCTGGCAGTCAGTTGGAGGCCTATCTAGAAAGCTTTGCTGAGATCACATGATTCTAAGAAGCTACCGCCGGTTTTAGAGGCCATTAGTTACTGGTTAGGTGTATCTTGTAGCTAGCCATTGAATGGTTTGCAAAAGTGTAAGCGGAACTTTGCCATATACGTTTAATCCCGGAGAAGAGAGATTTCATTTGCCTATACCGGGATATACTGAATCAAATCAATCGCATTCCAAGAAGAACGATCCAAATTATTAGTTTCGACTTCTGAATGAGATTGACGGATCCAATCTTTTCCGATCCCAAGATATATTGCGATCTCTTATTCGTTAATTTTCTTTGATTAATTTTTTGCTAAGTTAAAACTTCCTCTCGGTTGCATTTTGTTCTTGGCGTGTAGGTGCCTCCATATATATTGGCGCAAGTTCTGGGATCGACGTTGGCGAACGGGACACTGCGGTTGCTATTCACCGGCCAGCTGAACCATTTCTTAGGGACTCAACCGGCCGGTTCGGATGTGCAAGCATTCGTCTTTGAGTTCATCATCACTTTTTACCTCATGTTCATCATCTCCGGCGTTGCCACCGACAATAGAGCAGTGAGTTCTAACTTCTTTCTTTGAATTGCTTACTGATAATTGGGAAAATTTCAATGGAAATTCCTGTACAAAAGAAAAATTAATAAACAATCTCTTCGAGATGAGACGGGATAAGCAAATCTTATAAAACCGCACGAGATTACAAAAATCATGTGAAATCTTTATAGATGTGGAAAATAATTAATGTATTTTCTGCATAGTACTTAGAGGCCGGCAGCCTGCCACCCAACCAACCTTAGGTTCTTTCCGGCTTCTTCTTGAACGTCTTTCTCCGACAACCCTTTTTGTGTCTATAGGGCTCAATCCTAAATTCTTGATGAGAGAGAGCAATGCTAAGCTCTCTTGACAAGAAAATGTTCAATCCACTTCTAAGTTCTATCCAAGGATGGTCGTTCGTGTTCTAGTGTCATATTTGGATTTCTTAATCGCATCAAATGATGTCATAGAAAAACGCTATATTTTCTATTAATTGTGCCATAAAGTTCGTTATGTTGAATTCATATCACCGTTAAGGTTCACGTGTTAATTTGTGTCGGAAATCGTCACCAAATGGATATGTAGAATCGTGCATATTGAATACAAGAAAGAGAATCATTAGCTCATCACATGCCGGCTGATAGGACTTCTCGCCAAACATTAGTCACGCGATTCGTCTAAAGCTGATTTAAATATTCGTCACAGTAAAATTAGACTATCTTCCGCGTCATTATTTTTAAATTACGAAAGGGTTTGAAAATACCAACTTCAATTATTATTTTTATATGTCCCTTTCATTAATTAGTTGATTTAATTCATGTTTGTAATTGGTGCAGATAGGAGAGCTCGCTGGCCTTGCTGTAGGTGCAACCGTCTTGCTGAACGTGATGTTTGCAGGGTATTGACTATTTCTATTCCTTACATCTTCATCTCACACTCTATCTCGGGCTGAGAAGAAATGTTGACCATGATTTTTGACTGACTACATCTTTTGAATAGAATAAGTTGTCCATGATTAACTAGATCTTTTCAATAAAGAACATCATTGGATAGTTTTATTTTATAAGATATTGCTGGCTCAATTATAATATAAATTTCATGATTTAAACCACTAATGATAAGATCATCACCAATCTTTCCTTAAATTACGCCCTATGTATGTAGTTTGGCTGTTGATTCAAAGAGAAAGTTATCTAAATTATCGATATCATTTTCCTTGTATGTCGGACCGAACTTCTATCCCAAGAAAAACCCACGCAAATTTTGGCTCCGAGAAATCGGTTGTTGCAACGAATTTTCTTTTTGCTGGGAAACAAAATATTAATCCCGGCAGAAATTAAGGGTTTCGTGATGATAATTTGTGTTATTTTTTCGGGTGGTAATTAGGCCAATAACAGGAGCATCAATGAATCCGGCGAGGAGCTTGGGTCCGGCGATAGTGTTTCACCATTACGACAAGCTGTGGATCTACATCGTGGCACCGACGGTCGGGGCAATTTCCGGGGCGTGGGTCTACAACGTGATCCGGTTCACCGACAAGCCCATCCGAGAGATCACCAAGTCCGCCTCTTTCCTCCGGAGCACTGCCCGAAACTGCTCTTCTTGATTCAAACTCATTCGTCTCTCTCTCTCTCTGCCGTCAAACTTGCTCCTCCTCCTCCTCTTCTTCTTCTTCTCTTTTCTCTTTTGAGTTTACTTACGATTGCGTAGCATTCATAGTGAAAAGGGTTAATTTTCTTACTTCGATTATTGGGCTCTTCCCTTCTCTCTGGAGTTGAAATGTTAACATTATTGTATTTGTATTTGGGAAATTATTTTCCTAATGATCCGAACGTTAATTCTAACCTTATGAGGTCTACAACCTTATCCTTGATCTCTCTCTCATCGAAGTGGTTCTTCTTTTTCATTTATATTTTTTTTTGGCCAGATGTGTACTTGTCATAGTGAAAAGGAGTTGTGTTCTTGCGTTCCCTTCTTTCGGTTGTTTTGGTTTATTGTAAAGAGGGGTTCCTCCTTTTATTTGTGGAATTGAAATAAAACTCAGTTGTCGTGAATCGTCTTGGCTGCGGAGGGAAACAGGAAAAAAAAGAACAAAAGAAAAAAAGAACGAAAACGAAAATTAAAGGAAATGAGAAAAAGTTTCGAAAATTTTAAAAAAAGTTGTAAAAATCCTCCAGATTAGCACCAGCTGTGCCACGTAAAATAGTTGGGTGCACGTCACATTGGCGAGTCGTCAAAAGATTTAGGACTAAATTGGTCAAATTGAAAAGTTTTTGAATTGAATTGGTCACTGTAAAATAAGTTTAGAACAATTTGGACAATTATCCTAGAAATTAAAGGAGCTCACTCCTTGAAATTATCTAATGCAGCTTTTATCATAGAAGATCAACCCCTCGTTTGTCAATTTTGACCCCTCAATGTAACTCCAAATTAAGTTGAAGTTTTAAAACTACATGATGAATTGACTGCCCATCCCTTCTTGCGTATGCCTTTTGCCTTTTGAGGCAATGTTGGGGTAAACCGATCGTGCTTAGAATGAAAGAGAATGAGTCATAATAATTAATTACATAAAACCGAAATGTAAAACATTTTTTTGTTATCACCTATATAGTAGGGAGAATTACCAAAATAAGTTATAAACCTATTGTACGGATGTTAATTCAATCACAAACCTTTCAATTTGGCCAATTTAATCCTAAACTTTTTGATAATTTGCCAATACAGTCCTTCCGATAAATTTTAGCCATAAATTGTGACGTGGACACCGGTAGTTTTACGTGGCACGTCTGAAACTAACATGAACAATTTTTGCAATTTTTAATAATTTTTTACAAATTTTTCTTTTTATTTTTTATTTTTACCGTGGACCGGTGAGAGCTTGGGTTAGTAAGGGTCGCAATGCCATAGCCAAATCAGGGCGGTGCGACCTCACCAAATATGAGCATGGCCGCATCGCCCAGATCTGACAAGGGTGTTGCGGCCCTCCCTTATGGCTAGCGACCTCTGCCGGCCACTTCTAAGGCCTCTCCTTGGCAAAGGGAAATAAGAAAAAAGAAAAAGGAAAAAAAGAAAAAAATTCAGAAAAATTAAAGAATTGTAAAACATGTTCACATTAGTGCTGACCATGCCGCATATGATGGACGACGTCCTATCAACGATTTCGGGTCAAAATTAACCGGAATGACTACATTGGCAAATTGTTTAAATTTTTAATACCAAATTAGCTAAATTGAAAAATTCACAACTGAATTGACATTCTTACAATAGATTTAGGACTTTTTTGGTCATTTTTCCCCTATAGTAGATAATAACTTGGGATAGTTGAGCCAAGTAACCACGAGTTTGTGATTGGGCGAAACATTTAAACCAGTGAAATGTGGGTTGAAAAAAACTATTGGTTTGAAAAAAATGGAATGATTAATTTGAGAGAAAATTCCAAACATGAAGTGCTCTCATTTTTTCAAATAAGAGCGTGAAGTGGATATTGTTTCAAGTAAGGGCCTAAAGTGACTATGGTAGTTTCAAATAAGGGCCTGACTCGCTAGCTAGCTAAATATTATGGCTGGTCAAGGGTATTTTCGTCCAAATATAATGATAATTTAAATTGAATTAGATGAAAATTTTAAAAATCTAATTTTTTTTAAAAAGAGATGAGCTGGCAGGGTTGACCCTAACCCTCTCGCATGTGGCCGCCGCCCCATCGCACGTGGGGCATCGACCACGGTCAGCTGGGTTGTCGGCGCCTTGGCGAGGGCTAAGGCCAGCCCTCCTGATTGCTTTCTTCCTTTATTTAAAAAACATTAGCCTTTTTATTTTTTATTTGTCTTTTTTATGGATAAAAATTTGAATTTTTTAACCTAATTTAATTAAGATTTTGTGCAAAAATTAGATTCTTGTCTAAACGACATCGTTTTAGTGCTTTAGTTAACATTATGCCACATGGGAGATATAGAATATTAAAAAAGAAAACATTAACACAAAATCAAGTCATGGGCAAAGCCCTCGCCCGCTGTTGGCAAGGGTTGCCTCGCTTAGGTCCTCAATGGCCACGGGCGGGGCAGTCCTCATCTAGATCTTGAGAGGGTTGACCTTGCTTTTGGCCAACAAGGGTCGCGCAGGTGAAGCTGGCCCTCACCTGTGGCTTTTGATGGCAGCCTAGACCAACCCTCTCCGGGTATCGCTGGTGGCCAGCTGTCACTTGAGACCGACCACCAACAAAAAGGAAAAAAAAAAGTAAGAAAATTTTAAAAAAGAGAGTAAAAGACAAAAATGCCCTTGACCATTTAGCAAGGTTAGACCTTTTTTTTGGGTCACTTTGGGCCCTTATTTGAAACAAAATCCACTCCAAGCCTTTATTTGAAAAAAAATGATGGCACTTTAAGCCCTTATTTAAAATAAGATCCAATTCAAGTCCTTATTTAAGAAAATTATGGCACTTTAGGCTCTTACGTGAAATTTTCCCTTAATTTGTGAAAAGGAAATTTCAACGAAAGAAGATCCAATAAAAAGATAATCCTACATGATTGTTTTCCTTGTATAGTTAATGTTGAATTGGTTTCTCAAAATCATTGCATGATTGATTTCCTAATATGCATACGCGAGACTGGGGTATGAAAGGATGGTCAAAATTACAACTTTCTGAATTGACACCTTTTCAGTTCATGTGACAAAACAACAACCTATAAGGTTATCAATGATATAAACCCGAAAATTGCAAAGAGTTGCTCAAATGATAAGCTTATCCTTCCTTGTTGCTGGAGGCTAAACAAATGGGAATTAATCCGGTGCTCAAAAGTTTCGGATACTGCATTATTATTTAAAGAATGATATTATTATCCGCCTTCAATTCTTGCATTCCTAACAAAACTACCAAGCAAGGCCGAGAAATACGTCACAATTTTGTGACACCACATTGATTTATATAGTATTTTAAGTTATTAGATGAATTTCAATGTTGCATGACTTCTTACGCATACATTAGTATTTGACATAAGAAAAAAGAGAAAATGACATAAACAGTCCTTAAACTTTGGCATAATGTGTAACGTGGTCCCTAAATTTTTAATTTGTTCAAAGTGGTCCCTAAACTTTAACCCAATGTACAATGTGGTTCCTGAACTTTTAATTTGTTCAATGTCATATCTGAACTTTTGGTACATGTTCAATTTAGTCCCTGAACTATGTGAAAATGTTCAATGTAGTCCACATTAAACATATTTCAGGGACTACATCGAACATATACCAAAAATTCAGGAACCACATTAAACAAATTAAAGGTTCAAGGACCATATTGAACATTAAGCTAAAGTTCATAGACCACATTAAACAAATTAAAAGTTTAAGAACCACATTACACATTGAGCTAAAGTTCAGGGACTGTTTATGTCAATATCCCTAAAAAAATTAGTAAGGAAACATAGATGATGAATGCTGGAGGTAAATAACTATGTCTAAAGATGTTGGGATATATGATCTTTTAATCTAATATTACAAAGAATCTTATGAGATCACTGTTAATAAGTTTAAAAGCAAACAACATTAGATAAATGCGTGGTTAGTTGACTATAAATATATTAATAGAAACCCCTAGAGGTCCACTAGGTGGTTTTAGGTTCATCATTCAGGTGCTACAAATTGGTGGGTTAGGTATGTGAATATTATCCACATTTGTTTGTTTAATTAAGTTTGCATATGAGCGTTAACAATATTTATAACCTACCAATTAAAAACCCGGTTGGAACAAATTTTCTCGACTCGAGGATGGATGAATTAAGTAGCTAGTCAAGCTAAAAGTCTAAGTTTTTAATGTCATAAAAGAACTCTAATAGAAGGTTTATGATATTTGAAATGTTAAATAAGGCTATTGTCACGGAAGACTCGCGAGTATGAGCACCTATAAAGAGACTAATGGTGCAAGATGCTCTTATAGGGATAAGATCAAGATAAAACGTACGTAAAAGTGAGACTTCTAGGGGGACCTAATTCCGTAAAAAATCCCCAACTTTAGGTCAAGTCCCAAATCTGCCTCGAATTTTACTTAAAAAAAATGTCAAACTTTAGGTCTAGTCCCAAATTTGCCCCGAACTTTTTTTTGTCTTAGAAAAAAACCCAAAACTTTAAGTCCAGTCTCAAATCTGTCCCGAATTTTGTTTTGTATAAAAAAATCACCAAAATTCAATTTATTTTCAAAAATATACCCCATGATCCAATCCCAACTCGATGTGGCACTTTCACGTCGATAACAAATCCACATTAACAAAGTAATGGGTTTTTTTTTTAGATAAAGAAAAGTTCGGAGTAAATTTAGATTGAACCTAAAAATTAGGTTTTTTAAATTAAAATTTTTTTGGGGGATGGATTTGTTATCATTCCTAACTTTCATATCGTAGAATAGTTTTATTTTGGAGATTTTCAACAATTTTAATGTGTTGAATTTGTTATCGAAGTGGAAATGCGACGTCGATCTGTACCTATTGCTCCATTACTTTGCTGATGTGGATTTTTTATTGACATAGAAGTGCCACATCAAGTTGAGACTGGATCACGGGGGTATATTTTTGAAAATAAATTGAATTTTTGTGATTTTTTTTACACAAAACAAAATTCGGGCAGATTTGGGACTGGACTTAAAGTTTGGGGTTTTTTCTAAAACAAAAAAAAGTTTGGGGCAGATTTAGGACTGGACCTAATGTTTGTGGTTTTTTTAAGACAAAAAAAAGTTCGGAATAGATTTGGGACTTAACCTAAAGTTTGGAGTTTTTTACGGAATTCACCTCTTCTGGGGACGAACTCAGTCATGTGAATCATAAGACTATCCAAGGTTGATCTGAAGCATTCATGAGCAATT